GGATTGTGCTCGAACTCCAGGACCTTCCTGCCCTGGCTGCTGCTGACCCCCCCCCAGCCCCAACGCCACTGCTGCCCCCAGGGCCACCCTGCAGGGGCCGCCCAGAACGCTCATGTTTCCTCAAACACGGGGCGCGGCTTCTGGCCTCTGTGCCTGCCCGCGTGCAGCAGGGTCTGTTCCTCCGCCCGCAACGTCCTCCCTTGCCTTCCATCAAGGTCCAGCCCAAATACGGTTGTCGCGGACCGTCCAGTCTGATCCCCGCCCTCCCCGGGGCTGTCCTAACCTGGGCCACACTGTCCATAGCCCCTTCCCCGCCCTCCACCCCTGATTTAAATGGGCTGCTGGGAACACCCTTGACTCTGAGGAGCCTCCTGGTTAAAATGCAAGGCTGACAGGCTCAGAGTTGTGAATTCCATCCTGAGAGCAACGTTCACCGAGAACCACAGTATGAAATGGTGAAAGGTTGACCTAACAAACTGCGCCCGGGGCAGTGCTCAAGGGCAAGTTGTCCCCGGACCCACTAAGCGAAGGGCACTTCCCCCAGTGAGGATCTTGCTTATATCCAAATACCAAACATACTTTATAACAGGGAACAGGGTTGACAGTCAAACCCTACTCGAGATGAACAGGCTTCCAGGTGCGATACAACCGCGCAGGCAGCCAGCAGCGACGGGAGGGGCATGCAGAGTGAGAAGGGGGCCCTGAGCGAGTCCGAAATGGCGGCGCCCCGCACCCCAACCTCAGGACGGAGAACGAGGAAAGACAGACAGCACCCAAAGCGAGGGGAGGCGACGGGAGCCAGGGGTGTCTGCAGGGGGAGCTGGGGTTCGGGTCCAGAACACTGGGGTCCAAGGCCTGAGGCGGCCCCATGCCAGGCAGCTGACAACCCCAGCAACCTCTCCGAACCGAGAATGTTACCAACGTCACAAGGTCGCTGTGAAAGTTACGTGAAATGACATGCAGGGACAAGGGTGAGCTCTGCGGCGCTTTTAACTGCTGGTTGTTATTAAAGAGACATTAAAATACACCCCCAAGAACTCATAAAAATAAAAATGGAATTAAGTGGCTGGTACGTTCTAGATTGTGATGATGCTGTAGTTTAATCACTCTCTCCCCACACAAGGGCCACAGCAGGGAAACGAGGCGGCGACGTGCACAGCTCTCCGGGGACTCCGCTGTGCTTGCAAAACTGCCTGGGAGTCCCCTCACTCTCCCTGGTACAAAAAAACCCCAAAACCCAAAAACAAACAAAAAACCCACTGAGGGTGGAAGAAGGGAGGGGGTACTTCGAGAGACCGATTAATCAAAAGTCACTCAAAACTGAGATCCAGTGCAAGGAGGCAGCTGCCACCCCTCGGTGTCCCTGGTCCCTCTGAGTCCCCCAGTTGTTGCAGCTTGGGCAGGACCTGCTAAGGCTGCTGACCCAGCTTTAGGTTTAGGCTTCGACTTCTTTCTCACCAACGGTCAGTTGAAAATTACTAACAAGTAGCAAAGTTGGAAAAAGAAAAAAAAAGACAAACACTAAAGGAAAACCAAAGCAGGTAACTGAACGTCCTAATGCTCTTAGCGCCGGGGGTCCCCGGGGCGGTGGCAGTGCGGCCAGAAGGCCAGGAGCGCCCTCTAAGGGCCATGGCGCGCATACACGGTCGCCTGCCAGGGTAGGAGCGGAAAAAGAAGGAACTGGGAGAAAAATCTCTCTTCCACGTGACATCACCTAATACGCAGTGGCACTAACATTCTGTATTCACAATTTCTAAGTCTTAACCATCTGTTCTATACCAGAGAATTTTCCTTAATTAAATAATAATAACACAATTCCCCCAAATTGAATTAATTCATATTCTTTCCAGGCAAGACAAGGATAACTTCTAGAAGGAAGAAAAAGAGGATGTTCGCTTATACACATAACCAATACCTCCCGAATTCCAAATGCTCTAGCACAAGTCTACTGCATTGGTAGGGGAAAGAGTGAAACAATATGCCTCCCCACCCCAGCTACACGGTTCTATCCTGACATAAACATTCTACAGGTTAACAAGGAAATACCTATTTATTCTTTTTTTTCTCCTTTATTTTTATACCTTTCAATGTCTCTATATTTTCTAACTAAAATAAAAGCTCCTGATGAGAGGTTTAATTGTAATTCAAGAAACTCCCAAATTCTATAAGGAACAATGAGAAGCCCAATCCTCCACTGGCAAAGCGTGATGGGGCTTCCCCCTGAAACCCACCTCACGCTGCGATAGCAGAATAATGGCCCCCCAAGATGTGCGTGTCCGAATCTCTGTAACCTGTGAATAGGCAACCTCCCTTAGCAAGAGGGGCTTTGCAGGGGCGGTTAAATTAAGGATCTGGAGATGGGGAGATTGTCCTGTGGGAAGGAGCCATCAGGAAGGTCAGAGCCAGAGAAGGTGATGTGTGCATAGAAGGGGAGACTGCTGATGGGGGTCGTGAGCGGGGGACAGGGGCACCCTTAGAAGCTGGAAAGGGTGAGGCTGGACTCTGCCCGAGAGCCGGCAGAAGAAACGCGACACCGACGTTAACCCCCTGGGGCCTGTTTCTCTCTTTGGACCTCGCGAACTGTAAGGCAATCAATTATATGGTTGTCAGCCACTAAGGCTGTGGTAATTTGTTACTCAGCAATAGGAAACTAAGACACTGATAATGCACTGCCACTGTCTGGTGGTCTTTCCAGGGGTGTGAAGGGTCTCTGCGCAATTCTGTGACCACCTTCCCTGCCACAGTAATGAACTGTATGCTCCGCTGATGAATCAAACAGCCCTTCCATGTGGGTGGGCTCTGATGCACCAAACGCAGGGAACAGGCGCAGTCACGCCCTCCTCGCGAAGAGGGCAGCGGCCGGATGGGCACACCACAGGGCCGGAGGCAGGCTGGGCCACAGCGGAGAGGCAGCGGCCCCTCCTCTTGGTCCACTGTTTTCAGAAAAATGTCTCCGTCATGGAGGGGCGGGGGCGGGGGGGGGCGGGGAGCATCGCTCGCTTATTTCTTTTCACATTTTAATGGACCCAGGTGAAGGGTTGCCCTGCGAATCACCTCTCTTTTAGGGAAAATCCTTCTGAGCTGTGGTGATCTGCTGCTATTCATGTGGCTTTTGGTGATTTCATTACAGAGACCCTGGCCCCAAGGGCGGGGAGGGGTGGCGCAGGGGAGGGTCTGACTGCCTCCGCTCGCTGGGCGCACGCGTGGATGTGGCCAGAGAAGGGGCTGCCGCCTGGCTGTCGAACCCGGACACAAACAGGAAGGCTTCTGGAGGGGCAGACGAAATGAGCTATGTGCCCCACGACCTCTTTCACGGCACGAGGAGCTCTCTGCAGGTTCCGTCTGGGTCTTCCTCCTAGTATTTCATTTAAATGCAGTAAATATCCATTTCAAAATGGGCTTCTCCTCCTCTGTCCATCTCTAGCCCGGTCACCGTCTCACGGTGCACACCCCGCCCATGCACTAGGGAGCCGCACCAGCAGGAGCCCCAGGGCCAGCAGGTCACAGCTCAGTGACGCAGGGGGCAGCAGGCCCGGGGGCGCCGCGAGCAACCCCGCGCCAGGCCAGCTGGAAGGGACCCGAGGCAGGTGGCCGTCGCAACTGACAGCAGTGGAGCTGCCACCACCGTGAAGCCAGTTTGGCTGCCCTTCCACTTCAGTCTGTTTTCTACAACAAAAACGCTTTCAACATTCAGGAAATTTTAATTCAGGGAAGAAAAAAAAAGCCATGGGTTGTATGTGGGGAAGTCGAAAGGCTTTAAAATAGTTTTATTCTTGTTAAATACTGTACAAAATGTTCAGTGACTGCTTTCCTAGAGATGGGTGACAGAGAGGAAAACAAAACCTACAACTAATACTGTCTTTTATGGGTAGGAAAAAGTGGCATTTGGCATCCAAGCGCTCGGTGTAAACCTGAAGCAAGCACTGTGCCTGAGGTACCCACCAAAAAAAAGGATCAGAAGGCAATGTGACCCCCAGTTTTCCCCTTTCCCTAGTAGTAGGAGGGCTACAGAGAGAGAGAAAAAAAATGGCCCTCATTGTAATTGCATCTGAATTTTTATAACCCAGCTGGGACAGAACGATACTGACAAAAATGTTGACTTCTTGGATTCCTGCAAACCGATGACATGAATAAAAGTCACACAATTTCTAGTGTGAAAATGCCTGTACAGGAAGTGGGAACAAGGGCCACCGAAGGCTTAGGGGTTAAAAAACCCCCCACAAACTTGCCTGGTACAAGAAATCTGACAACAGCACGCTGGCATTTTCTGAAAAGCGTCCCTCACATTTCAGCCCCCAAAGAAAACATCCATCCTGTCTCCAGCCTTAGCCTTCGAGGGAAGGGTGAGCTTCTCCCGAACTGACTCTCCAAATTCCCTGTCCCTCGGCTCAGGACAAATGTCATCGCGCAGCTCCTAGGTCCTCACCAAGATGAGCGGCGTCCACGTGAGTGCGACTGCCCTTGGGCGCCACGGTACCAACCTTTCCCCGCCGCCCCCGAAACAGTCCTACCCGTCTGCCACCTACAGTCATTGCCGCCTCGGGGCAGGTGAACCGAAGGGAATAAGGATGTCGCGGGGAAATTCTGGGCAAAGGGAAGCAGCACCCCACCCCGCCGCAGCGCCAAGAAGTCGCTTTTCTCCCCCACCCCACGGTGCCTGAATCTTCCTAGGAAGTTAGACGGCTCAAGTCTCCCGACCCCTGGGCGTTCGCCGTCAAAGTTGAAACTGAGGGCACTGAGGTCCCCAGGCGCCGACGGTGTCCCTGCTCCCTCCTCCGGCGCGCGGGGCTCCCAGCGCCCAGATTCTGCGTCCCCGGCCGCCCCTCGGCGCCCTGACCCGCGAGCGATGAGGACGCACAGGTTAGTGACACGACACGCAGCCAGCACAGAGCGGGGCGGCGGTCCCCGGAGCGACAGACGGGGTGGATGTGCATGGAGGTGGACAGAGAAGTGGTGAGGAGGCGCGGAGAGCGAGGCAGCCCAGCCCGGGCTGCGCGTACCTGAAGCCCCCGCCGCGGAGACGACGGGCAGCAGCGCTGCCAGGAGCAGCAGCGCCGCCCAGGGCAGCAGGCGCCACGCGCGCGGGGGCGCCCCGGCCTCGGGCGCCATCGGGACCCCGAGGTGCGCGGGGGGCTGGGCGGGGGCGAGGGGCTGGTCGGTGGGCGGTGGGCCGGAGTCGGGGAGCACTGAGGCGCCGCCGTCGGGTCCCCGCCGTCCGTGTAGGTGTGTGCGCCCTGCGCTGTGCCCGCCGCGCCCCAGCCCCGCGCTGATCTCTCCCGGCCCGCGTACCAGCCGCCGAGCTCCGCACTGAGGCCGCCCGCCACCGGCAGCGCCTTTTAGCCGCGTGCGGGCGCCCCCTGCCGGTGGCGGGACGTGGGGCGAAGGGGCGGCGAGGCGACGGGGGTGGCTGGGACCGTGGCCCGGGCTCAGGGTGCCGGATCGCCCCGGAGCTCCGCTTGGCATTTCTGAAAATTCGGTGATTGCTGTGTGGGACGAAGTGGCTGGGAAAGTTCCTCCCGCTGTCTGACCTCTCTCGTTTTCTGGCTCGGAAAATCGCCCCAGGCGTCCAGTCGCTGCCAAGCCCACAAATGCCCTGTGTCCCCTTAAATAAATACCTCTGGTCTCAACGTTGGGGACAGCGGCCAGGCCCCTCATCGGCATCTGCATTTCGCGGTCTTTCCTTCGGCTCACCCCGGCAGGCCTTCCCCATACCCCGTGCCCCCAGGAGAGGGGTTTACTGTGCTTAGACGCTGGGGCTCCTGCTGTCTCATCAGTGGAGCGCACCAACTAGGTCGAAAGGTAGCCACCCGTAACTAAGTAGCGAGGAGTCCCGGCCAAGGATTTCACTGGCCTTGCGTCCTCCGATTCCTATGACGCTAACACTGCTTAGAGTCCCCGTGTTCCGGAATCCCACCGTTTGCGGTCGGTTCCCGGCCTTGGAAGCCTCTGGCCCCTCCACCTGGACTGGAGCGCCCCTGGAGGCGACCGGCACGCCTGCGCCAGGAGGGCCCGCGTGCTCCTGTCTGCTGGCCCAGCGTGTCCTCCCAGACTTACCCGGCTGAAGCTGACAACCTAAAAGACCTGAGCAAATTTGCGTCATTCTGCAGCGAGGGAAAGATCGTTAAATAAACTAGATTGATGAAACAGAAATGCAGCATCTCTTTTCTGAAACAAAGCAACAAGCACATCCATGCCAGTAAGCCCTGGCTGGTGCTGATGCCTCGTGCCCAGCAAGAGTCCACAAAAGGCATGGCCCTACAGCCTTCTGTTCTAGAAAACCTTTCTCCTGGTTCTCAGAGGGGGTTCTTCTTCAATCACCTGGCAAGCTCAATGAGCATCGAGAGCCCTCGGAGTTTGCAAGGGTGCTAGTGTTTAAATACACTTTCTTCCATCACTCCCTTCTGTGTGCCCACGTGCCGCCTATGGAGCTCCGGCTTTTGTCTGCCCAGTACCCTCCCCACCCTGCTCTTCTTTCCAGAATAGTGGTCCCACCTCCTTACTCCCACCACATGGCTCTAGCATGCCTCCCAAACACTCTTTCCGCCCCTACCTCCCTGCAGTCGGTCCGAGGATCCCGGTGGGTCTGAGTCAGGATTTTTCCTGACTAGAGCTGGTGGGAATCCTCATCTTTCTCCTGTCAGTCCTGGGTGGTGATGGATGGTGGGTGCGGTAGGCCAAAAGAGGCCCCCCCAAAGGAGTTGTGTCCAAATCCCTGGAACCCATATATGGAGGGGGCGGGTCCTTGCGGATGTGATTAAGAATCTTGAGATGGGGAGATTATCCTGCATCTTCTGGCAGCTCTAAACGCCATCGCCTACATCCTTCTAAGGAAGAGGAGGAGAGGCGGCGTACCAGGAGCCAGGGATGGGAGGGGCGCGGCCACAAGCCAAGGCGGCCGCAGCTGGGAGAAGCCAGAGGAGACGAGGAACGGATAGGTGCTTCCCTGGAGCCTCTGGAGGGAGCAGAGTGCGGCCAGCACGCTGACTTCAGTCCAGTGGAACTAATTTTGAGGTTTTGGCCTCCAGAATTGAAAGAATAAATTCCTATGGTTTTACACCCATGAGCTGGTCGTCGTGACAGCAGCCACAGGAAACGGAGGCAGCAGCCAAGAGGGGCCCGGGTCTCTGGCTGAGCGTTGAGGGGTACCACCCGGAGAGAATGAAGCCAGCACGTGGATGACAACTGAACAGGGAGAAGGGTCGTGCAGGTGTGTGCGTCCAGCTGCCAGCTCGCACTTCCTGAAGACGGTTCTCAGAGACGGACGCTCCCTTTGGCTCAGTTGAGGGTGGATTTCTATCCCTTGAGACCAGTTCACTCCCCATCCAGAAGAGGACAAGAATCAAGATCTACCTTTACTTCCGATCTGCCGCCCAAAGTGGCCATCACCACACCATGCACACGGTGACTTCCAGGAAGTACTTCTAAGTTCGCTGCTACTCACTTGTTCACTCAACAGATATGTATTGTGTATCCATTATGTCCCCGACACCGGGGAGCTGGCTAACAGCAGTAGCGATGACAACTTGGCAGGAAGTAAGTTAAGGCAGATGAGGGGCGGGGTGGTCAGGGCCTTCCAGGCCTCGGTGAGGAGTCAGGCTTTTACTCAGAGAGGGGATCAGGGGCGTGACAGGACAGCGTTTGCACGGTGAGCTGTGGAGGCTGGGGACCGGCAACAGGCTCTCTCAGCCCAGCTGAGTGAAGAGGGCGCTTGGGAGGAAGGACGGCCCGGGCCGAGAGTGAGAACTGAGGAGGCCCCGGGCGGAGCTTGAGGTGCTGGCTGACGATTTCCTGACTAACTGGGTGCAGGCGGGAGAGGAAGAGAATTCGCAACACACCGACTCCCCTGTTCCTGCCCTGGCCAGTCGCACTCCATGAGGACTGTTGTCATTTCGGGATTTCACTCTTCGATTTTGTTGTAATAGAATCAGCACAGGGCAGAGTCTGCAGAGGCTCACAGTGAGGCTCCTCCAGAGCAGTTTCGTTCCTTCCCTGTGAAGTGCACGTGGGCTCGCCTACCTCCCAGCGCATTCATGTTAGAGCGACATTCTCACATGGACATTTCGGAGAGATGTACGATGCGAAATCACCTCTGGCTCTAGAGTTTTGATGTCCAGAGCAGAACAATGACATTGGATACAAAAGGACATTAATAACATTTATGAGTCCAGATTCTGGACTCATAACCTGAGCCCATGAATGATTACAAATGTGAGTGTAATCAAATGCAATTTAAAAGGCCTTAAAAGAAGCTTCAAAAGAATCTGACCTAAAAGTCATAGTCATCTGTCCCGGACATGACCACCTCACAAACATAAGGTCTCTGAAGTTTTCTTCCTTCTGGTCAATTTTTAGTCTATTCTGTTGTCATCATTATCCTCGTAGACTTTACTACTTTCACAAAGCTTCTTAAGCTCCCGGTTGTGGCTTCTGTTTTGCTTATCCAAACCAAACGGAGTGGATGTCATTAGCTATTTCACTGTGATCCTTTACAAACCCGTCTGCAGGTTATTTCTGTGGGTCACCTCCAGCTTTACCTGTCGGTCTGGGAATCACACACACTGTCTCTGGTTCCAGTTGTTTTTGGACAGCCACACACTCCGAGTCCCCGTTGGCGGGGCCCTTCGGTGAGGTGAGGTAGAGCTGAATGCTGTTCTCCTGTTTCGTGTGGATAGATGAGAACCAAGTGCGAGCGACCGTCCAGGAGAAACTCCAGCAGTTTTGAAAGTGCACGTCTCACACCGTCATCTGACATCAAATCTTGTTCTGGCTTCAGATGGGCTCTCGTGGCTCTTCAGTTCCTTTCGAAGCACCGCATTTGAGTCTGTCTATATGCTGTGACAGCAGCAGGACACGCTACGAGACTCACGCGCAATGGTGATGTGCACGCAACTTTGAAAAGACCGCCAGAGGCGGAATGAAAGAGAAGGAGGACCCGCCGTGCCTGGAGTGACGGGAAAATGATTAATTCAGACACAACAGACCGGGAGGAAAACGGCTTCTAGGATTCCATAAACGGGGGGGGGGGGAAAAGAAACAAGAAAATAGACGTTGGCATGTAGACTTCGCCTTGACATGGGACAAAAAAAGAGATTGCTTCTCACCAGCAATAAAATAAAATAATGTTTACCAAACTTTTCTGGAGCAGTATGTATTTTGTTCTGGCTCCCACAACACACTTAGAGGCGCTACTCTGATTTTACAGAGAGAAGAGCAAGGCTCTGAGGGGCAGTGTGGCTTGTCCACCTCACAGTAGGGACCGCTGGGGTGGTGTGTCCATCGCGAACCATCTGACTCCCAGGGCGCGTCCATTTCCACGGCACCGTGGTGCCTCAGATTTTCGATGAAAGCACCAGGGTCCAGGCAGGATGTTTCACGTGCCCTGGTGGCCAGAGTGACACCTCCTTATCCTCCCAGTGGCGAGCGATCCTACTCAGCAAACCATTACACAAGACCTCGGTGTCACATCATACATCTGCTCAGGGTTTGGACGGTGTGGGAAAGAAATGGTGCTCCTCAAGAAAAAAGGTGGGGGACCATAAATCCATCATCGCCCGAAGCACACTTCTTCGGAACAGAAGTTCTAACTTGTTTCACCACAAGGCAGTGCCAAGGCGAGTTCTCTGCTAGAAATACACTGGGAAGCGGTGAAACCTAGAGGATTAAGAAATCAGAAACACAACCCAGCCTGTGAATTGTTCAGGACTCAGACTGAGAGTATTTCCATTCCTATGATGTAAGAGCCCACAGACCTGTGTCCTGGCCCTCTGTCCAACAGCCCGGTCACGAGACAGGCGCACTGCAGTGGAAGCGGCTAGATAGTCCGGTTCTGTCGCCCGCCACGTGTCCTTGGGCACAGGGCTTGAGCTAACCGAGGGGAATCATTCACCCATCTATTCCTTTACATGATCTTTCAGAACACACATTTCTGTGTCGAGTGATGTGTTAGGATGTGGGGATACAAATGCGACCGAGGATCAGGCAACTCTGGCTTCGAAAAGCTCACAGTCGAGGTAAGAAAGAAACCACCCCTCAACCCAATTACAACCTATAGTGCCCTGACAGTGAGGCGTGGAGCTCATGGGAGCTCCTCTAAATGTTGTTCATCTCTTCTCTTATTTTCTTTTTCCCCAGAAAGTTTTTAACCGTGCGTGTACTTCCGCAGGCAGACTTTGGGGTGCGCTCACTCGAATGCTGCAGCATTACAGAGCCCAGTTTGGGGAGGAGGCCTTAATAAATCAGGGTGGGACAAGATCTCAAAGTGTACAGCCTGCAAGCTGCAGTTGGCAGATTTAGAAGTTGGCCCAGGCATTATGCTAGGAAAACACGCATCTGGCTGACTTCCAGCCCGCGTTTGCCTGACCTCCCACCCTTCGGTGGAGAGCAGAGCCCCGCCGCCTGTGGGTGTGTACCCCAGAGGCACCGGGCACGGAGCTGCTGTGCGTGGAGCCGGCCACGCCAGCCACGCACACCGCCGACCATGCGCATTGACAGCTTTGCCACCGCAGCTCGGTGGGCTGCCCCCAGGCAAGCTGCCATGAGGCCCGGAAAGACTCTCCTTTCCCGAAAAACACGCCCTTCTGGTTGTAGTAACACACTGCTTACCGGCACCAGCCCTGCAGCGGGCAATGAAGAAGACAGGTCGTTGGTGGCGACCCCCAGCTCCCCGCCTCCAGGGTGGTATCCCCTCTCATATCACCCCCCCCCCCCAGGCACTGAGCCCCTTGGCATCCCGCCTCCCCCGCCCATCACACATTCCTCCAAGGGAGGATCTGATCGCCCCCTTCCAGCTGAGATGTGAGAGACTGAGAGGGCTTCCCTGTCGAGGTTAGGGGCCCAGCCCACACTCAAGGAGTGCACGGAGTGAGGAAGTGGCGGAGCCGGGAGGAAACCCTGGCACCCCACCAGCAGACTCAGTGGCCCTTTGCATTTCAGGCTGGTGGGAGAGTCATTTTCCAGTGTAGAATTAGCAGCAAAGACCTATCGGCAGGGAGGCATTTTGGATTAATGTTTCTTTATTTACACGTAAGTTGTCCTGACTTTAGAAAAGGCACATTTTGTCCTGGACGGGTGGCTCAGTTGGGTGGAGCAACTTCGTCCCATACACCAAAAGCTTGAGAATTCAATTCTTGGTCAGGGCACATGCCTAGGTTGTGGGTTCGATCCCTGGTTGGGCTGCTTACAGGAGGCAACCAACCGATGTTTCTTTCTCACATTGATGTTTTTTTTCCCTCTCCCTCCCTTCCCCTCTCTCTAAAATCAATAAGAACATCCTCAAGTGAGGATAAAAAAAATTACATGTTGCAATTGTTAGCGAACTCCAAAACAAGGCTAATGAGTCAAGCAGGACACAGCACTCTCTTTAGGTAACTCTTAGCCTGGTTTGTAGAGACTAACATGAAAAAGTCATTGGAATGTTTTGTTTTGTTTTTTAAAAAACAAAATGTCTCGCTGTAACTGTTGGCAAGAAATAAAATATGCAAAGTTTCAAATATCACAAGGAAAACCTGAAGCTGCTTAGCCCCCAAATCAGGTGACTGTTACCCACCAGGCGGCTTTGGGAGAAAGCAGAGTCCTCTGGGAAGCAAGGCCCCGTCGGCGGGACAGCAGGCGTGCGCGCCGCAAGCCGACCCCTGCCTCTGCTCCGACACCTTTCTGAGCCCAGATGCGGCGGCCACTGGTTCGTTTAAGAGGGGACCATACGTTCAAAATGGTGCCTCGGCCTGTTTCCTCTTTGCCATATGAAATACAGATTAGTAAAAAGCCTGTTTAGCCTTTTAGCTCTTAAGCGTGACGTCCCCTGAGAGCGCTGCATGTACCCACCCCCAGTCCCAGCGCCCGTGTTGAACACCTTCGGGGGGCCCCCGGCTGTGAGTCCGCAGCCGGGACGTTTCCGTCTTCCCAGGGCAGCCTCCACCGTCCTCCTCCCTCTAACAGACGCAGGAAGTTACACATACACTTCCCCTTTATGGAGAAGGACTATTAAAGGTGGGGTTGGTTCATCTTTCCTACAATGATGAAAAGGAGCCTGACCTTAATTAAAAAGCAGCTTGAGAGAATCAGGGAAGAGGAAAGGGAACTCAGAGACTAACTACAGGCCGTTTGTTCCTGAGGGATGTGTCTGTGTGTGTGCGTGTGTCTGTGTATAGTTCTCTGCGTCTGTGCTGCATGTGTGCCTCTGGATCTGCATGCTTCTGTCTGTGCTGTGCATGCGTGTGCTGCTTAATGCACAGCAGAGAGAGCATGTTTAGCTCAGGAGGCAAATGAGAAGTGTCTCGAAAGAGTCAGCACTGGAGCCAAACCTTGAAGGAAAGGCAGGGCGAGTGATGGCAGAACATGCTCATCAGAGGGACCCACGAGAAGAAGGAAGAGAAGGTTTGAGAAGTTCCAGGTGGCGGGACTGCAGGACGCATGAAACGGTGAGCGGGTGACACTGTTTTAAAGGTGGGAGGGGGCCAGAGCTAGAAGGACGTCAGGGCAGCACTGAGGGGTATGGGTTTGCTCTGAAGGTGCGAGGAAGCCACTGAAAAGGAAAGTTTATCGGCTGTTTTTCACAAGGCTACTGTGAGGTGCACGTTCGCTAATCTAGCAGCAATACTTTCAAAAAGGTGACCAGTGATACAAACCTGAGGGATTTACACTCTAAACATCAGAATCATGCTCGAGGAAGAGTGATTAGACAGCTGGCTGCAGGACTGATCGGACAGGGAAGAAATCAGGGCAGGGGGCAGCTGGGCTCCTGAAATGAGCAAGATGAGAGGCCGAAGGTCTCGGGGGGTTTGGAGGGGCTCCCACAGACAAGTGCATTCATAGAGCGGTTACTGTGAGGTGGAATCCCCAGAGTGTGGTGCACATGTGATGGCAAAGAGGCTTTTAATGGGCCCCAGCACTCATTTTTGTGCTTCTCAGGTGGCAGAGACTGAATCGGAGCACCTCCAACCCCTACAAGAGCCAGGAGTCCCCAGTGAGCTAAGTCACAGACATCTCCTGTCCTTGGCAGAACACACGAAGCCCCTCCAGATCCCCAGTAGAGGCCCTCAGAATTTCCACAGTTTAACGTCAGTCAAATATGAGCTTGTACACCCCCAAAGAAACAAAAATCATAAAAAGACTCAGAGAAACAAGATTTGGTCTCATAACTGTTTAAGATATTAGAATGGATTCAACTATAAAATAATTATATGTGATATGTTTAAAGAAATAAAGTAGAATAAAAAATAAATAATGGTTTGAACACTAGCCAACATAATATAAAAAGGAAAAATATTACCCTAGGGAATAAAAACTGAGTAGAGTGCTAAACAGTAGGTTAAATATGGTGGAAGAGAAAATTAGAGAACTGGAAGACTCGTCGGAAGACTAGTCATAAGAAATTACCAAGATTGCAGCACAGAGACACAAGGAGATGGAAAATATAAAGAAAGAAAAAGATATGAAAAAATATAATCCCAGAAGAAAAGAATAGAGAGAATAGATAAGAAACAATGTTCAAAGAAATAATGGCTGAAAATGGATGAAATATATAAATCTGTTGATGTAGGGAGCACGACAAATACCAAGGTGGATAAATACAAAAAAATCCACACCTAAGTATATTACAGTGATTCTGAGAACACAGAATGTAGAGAGATGATTAAAAGCAGTGAGAAATAGATGCGAGAATACCTACGAAAGAACCAAGTTAATCAGCAGCCTTCTCAACAACAGGAGGCCGAAAGTGGTGAAGCAGTATTTTCAGATTTTGAGAGGAAATAACTGCCAATCTAGAATTGTGTGCTCAGAAATATTATCTCTCAAGAATTAAATAAAATAAATGCATTTTCAGTTAAATAAAATTTGGGAGTACATACCAGTTACAGACCTTTTACTACAGGACCTTCTAAAAGCACTTCAGGAAGAAAACAGCAACTCAGAATAAAGGCCTGAGAACCAAAGAAGGACAGTGAATGAAGGAGTTTGGAAATGTGTAGGTGAATCTAAAGAAACACTAGTTTGAGTTTAAAAAAGAAAACAACTGAAATACAGATCACATAAGAATGAAATCTTAATTATCATTAAGATTGTTAAAATGAATTTTTACTGTTCAGGAAAAAGGTTGGGAAATTAAATTTGAATTTTTAAAACTAGGTATGGCAAAAATTTTAAGAGTAACAACTGAAAGTAGAGAGTGTATAGCTTCTAAACCAACAGGAGATATTTCCAGTATTTTTTCTCAGTTATAGGTAGATAAACCATATAAAGTAGTAAAGCTGTAGAGATTTAAACCACACAATTATCAAGCTTGATTTAATGATCATATATAGAATATACATTGTTCTTGAGCAAACATAGGACATTTATGAACATTAGCTATGGATTAAGCCATAAAAAAAGTTATATCAAACTAAAAAGTAAAAAGGTACCATACAGATTATGTCTCTTATCATGGTGCAATGAAATAAAAAATCAAAATCAAAAATATAATTTAAAAATTTTTTAATTAAATATTGACAAAATCGTAACAGAAATTTTTAAATATTCAGGACTGAACAATAATAACTCTCTTACAAATAAAACTCAAAGGATGTTGCAAAGGTGAAAAATATATACCCTTACCTATGTATTTATTTATTTATTTATTTTTCCTGAACAGGTTTTATTACACAGAGGGGATGGGGCTCAGTCCTCCTTGGCTGCTGCCTTCCTCATGGCTGCAAGGACATTGCTCAGCTCCTCTCTCTTCCTCTTGGCACGGATGTGTGTCCCCACCCTTTTCTTGATGAATTTCAGGGCTCTCTTGTCCTTACAGACTTCGAGCAGCTCCATGGCGCGCTGTTCATAGCGGGCAAAGCCACACACCTCTCGGATCAGGTCCCGCACGAACTTGGTGTGCTGGGTGAGGCGCCCGCGGCGGCCGCTGTGCCTTGGCTTGCTCACGTTCTTTGTCACTTTGTGGCCTTTGTTGAGGCCCACGGCCGTGGGGTAGCGGAGGGCCCTGGCTGCTGCTCCTCAATGGCTACCGCGGTCCCTTACCTATTTATATACATGAGAAAAACATAAAGACTAAACACTTATATTTAAAATCGTAACATTGAAGATATGCTGAATGTCCAATGAGCAGGTAGGAGAAGAATAAGAGAATAAACTTATTAAAGAAAAAGGATGGAGATTATAAAGACAAGAACAGACATTAATCAAAAGGAATACAAAGTTAGAACTGAGAGAAAAGTTTTTTAAAAACTGGCTTTACAGAAAGATGAATATAATAACCAAATCTTCAGTGGGATTTATCAAAAAAAGGGGGGAAAGGTGGAAATTTAAAAATAATAGGAATAGAGGATGACACAACCACAGAAACAGCAGATATTAAAATGAGAAGGAAATATTATGAAGTATAATTGCACCATCTGTTCAAAATAATTGCTTGATCTGCTCATAAATATTATGTTAATAAATTTGAGAACTTATATGAAATAAGCAAATTCCTGAAAAAGTATAGTGTACTAAACTTGACTCAAGAAGAAAAGAATGCCTGAAATTAAATCAGTAGTTAAAAATCCTCCCCTAAAGAAAATAGCTGGCCTCGTCAATCTTAGGAGCAAATGCTACATACCTTTCACAAAAATTGTTCCAATTTTCTACAAGATGGAAAACGCAGAATTACTCCCTGGTAGCATTCCACGAGGTCAGTTCAGCCTCGATGCAAAAACAAGACAAAAACGACATGATGAAAGAAAGTTTCGCTCTAACTGGTAAACCTTGACACAAAATCCCTAAACAACATTAACAAGCTGAATCCAGCCAAGCATGAAAAAGAAAATATATCCTGTCCAAATTTGCTCCTTCCCAGGAATTCAGGGGAAATGTATCATTAGGATAAGTGTAATCTGCCACATTAATCGAAGAGAGGAGAAAAGCCATATGGTCTTCTTATATGACTCAGAAAAGGATTAGATAAAATCCATCATCCTCTCATGCAAAAAAAAAAAAAGAAAGAAAGAAAGAAACTCAAAGCAGAAGGGAGATCGCATAAACTGACAAATAATATCTGTAAAAAAAACTACATTCGGCAAACCCCATTCTTCACCGTGGGACGGGAGGACCAGTGATGCCCACTCTGCTCAGCCCACCCTATGCAGGAGAACTTGGCAACCAGCCTCGGTCTATTTCAGGCGTTTGGTGATTACTCCGCCTGTCAGTCGTGCTGCTTGGCCCAGGAAAGGCAATCTTTTCCTGGTATCTTAGTAACAAAACAACACAACTTTATTTACTTAAGTAAGCTCCCTTTCTAAGATCCTATAAAACACGTGGTGACAATGAATTTAATTCTGCTTTACATACTAATTTACATGACCACCCTGGCTGTTAAATATTTTAAATGGCACCCCCGCTCTTACATGAGACCTTCGGGAACCCCGTTGCAACCATTATCCTCCTCTCTCCTCTGGACGTTTCCTGCACTTCAAATGTCAACGACAGTCGGTGGAGGGAGCAGAGGAGGTAAAAGTCAAAACTCTGCATTATTTCCGTTATTCCCACTGCAGGGAATGTGTCCAGAAGCTGGGGGCGGCCGTGACCTCATTGCCCCCTATTCTCCCTGGCAGCACAGTTTTTGGTGATGGAGAGCTCACCGTCGCTCGTCTGTATTTACAGTCCCCATTGCTCACAAATCACCTGGACATTTTTCTTTATATGGGGCAGTAAACCCTACATGATTCCTTTTCTTGATGGTATCTTGCCTGGTAGAGAAACTGAATTCTTCTTCGTATGCCTTCAGTTCAGATCACGTTGTTCTGCTTCCACAGCGGGTCTTTTTAATACATTTTTAAAGTAAGAATAAAGTCATGGGCAAACAGGATGTTAAAGGGACTTTGTGTGGCACGCTTCACTGTTCTTTCGCTGGTATTTCAAGATTACATCATTATTTACAGTTGCTAAGGCGATCATGTGAGGATACTCCGTTCCGGAATACTTGGAGTCCAAGTGTGTGGTTCATGTCCTTGGGAAACCGTCCACTAATCAATCAAAAGGATTTGACACTGAGCCAGGTCATCAACGACCTCTGGCAAATTAACACAAACTAGCTACATTCAAACAATAATAAATGAGTTATTTATTGGCCAAGCCCACTGTAGGAGATGACATTTCAGTTATTTAGAAGTAGACAGAACTAGGAGGAAATCAAATAATCAAAAGAAGCCTCATCCATACCACAGAACTGTTTAAAGAAAATCCATTTAAAACGAAGCCCAGAAGCTTCCACCTGTTGGCAGAAGTTTTAAGTGAGGCCTCAGATGGAAGAGCAACTAGAGGTTCCATTTGCCAAAATGTTCAATTCACATATTCTTTATCCTCCTGACAACAGAGGCACACTCAGGCTAGAAGAAGCCAAGAATAAGCAAAACGAAACGAGCGCTAGACCCCCGGATGGAATAAAGGCTGACTCATGAGGTCCGGGGGAGGAGAGCGCGCGGGCGGAGACGCTTGGCCCGCTTCTTGAAGGCACCTCTTTGGAGACAGAGCTCGTCTTCCTTTTCTGTGTTTGTGTCCCTCCGCCCAAAAGGCGAGGTCCGGGAGGGCGCTGTGCGGGGTCACGTGCCTCCGTTTCCCCCGCTAGAGGGCAGGAGTCTGCGCGGGGCAAGCCCAGGCCCCCATTGTGTTTGTTTTTTAAAAAAACAGAAGACAAAAAGGACATGTTTTCCTATGACATCTCCATTTCCCCAAAGGAAAATAAAGGTGCTGCCATCAGTGAAGGTATCCGGAGAGTCCATCATCTCCATCACACAAGGTGGGGGGCCGTGTTTTTGCAATATTATTCTTTTATTTATTTACTTACTTGTATTGTTCATGTGCCATTACAGTGGTTCCTGCTTTTTCTCCTTTCCCGAGCTCTACCCTGTCCCCTACGCAAGTCAATACTATTCTTGCCGGTAAATAGTAAATGTATGAGGAACGCCCATCGGTACGGGACCAGTTAAAGACAGTGTCGCGCATCCAGACTGCGGGGTTCCAGGCAGCCCCTAAAGTCAATGGGGTGAAGTTACACTGACCAGGGATGATCCCATACACAGTGGCAAGTGAAAAAAAAGGAAGTTTCAGGACAGTCTCTCAAGTGTAATGATGGCCATATAAAAACTTAAAAGATGAATGTGAAACAAGGAAGCCTCATCAGGTGTCATAATTATGAAAACTCCCTCATTTTTGTCCCTCTCCCACACCCTCCCCCCAAACCCCAACCCCATTCCCTTAAAATATCCTCAGTGAGCAAATTCCCTTCTCTGCTCTGGGGACAAAACTCCGGCAGCCGCGTGGCTCCTGTGAACTTAGGGGTAATAAACAAATCCTGGGACTGCTTTAAATCATAAACACCGTGTCGATTCAATAACTAAACCTGTCTAATACTGTATAATAAAAACTTCAAACTTGATTTAAATCAGACTTTCTTGATTTAAATCAGACCCTCCAACTGGAGCCTGCTGGGCCTGGTGGCCTGCAGACGGGGAGGCTGCTTGTGCTGGTTTCCTGCCTTGGGCGACTGCAGCCTTCATCTCGCTGGCGCGTGCTGATGCCCCAGGACCCGCGGCAGGGGAGGCGGGGAGGAGGGGGCAGGCGCGTCCGTGCCCACTCGGGGTCTTGCTGGTCGGCACCTCCTTGTCATGGGCTCTTTCTCAGGTTCTGCACAGGCCCCCTGGGGGACTCGTCCACAGCACTTTATGCAGGGGCTGGGGGGGACACAAGAAACCCGGAATTTACTTAATAAAAAAAGGTGTATTTATTCTTACACATTGAAACTTCAGTCACCTTCAGAGTCCTCTCCACTTGATGCCATCCACCTATCAAGACGTTCTTCCCACGACTCCAAACGGTTTTTGAACCCGTTGATTCTCATGCCTTTTAGTGCTTCTGCCATTCTTTGTATCAACTCTTCCACATCAGCAAAACGTTTCCCTTTGAGGACTTTTTTCATCCAGGGAAACAAAATAAAAAGTCTCCCTGGATGAGAGCCGGTGAATAGGGAGGGTGGTACACGGGGCCATGCCGTTTTTGGTCAAAAACTGCTGAACCCTCACCAAGGCATGGGCTGGTGCGCTTGTAAATCACCCATTGTGAAATGGGCACACGTGTTGAAAGACTCTTCAAAAAAATTCACTGAACGCAGCCTCTCACAGCAACGCCAGCTGGCGCACTGATCCAGATGGGTTTCTAGAACACTCACCTAGCGGGGAAAGCCTGAAGTACAAGGTGCCCACCCTCCAGGAGACAATTCTGGTTTGGGGGGGGCTCCCCCTCATGCACGATGCTGGCGATGTTTTGTCAGAGGGCTGATCGCCCGTTGCCTCTCAGGACAGTCCTCTAAGGTGAGATGTTAAATGCCCAGCTCCCTCTTCCCTGTGGTCCACGTCTGGTCCACGAGAAATACTCATGACCCGCCTCCCAGCCTCCAGGCCAGCCGCCTCTGAGTTCCTGACTAGCTGCAGCGCATCCAGGTCCACTCTGCCCAGCGGCCTTGAGCTGAGGGCAAAAGTCTCTTCTTTACGTTCTCAGCTGTGTGTCAGCTGCTTGTGCCCTCCTTCTGAATGGCCCTATCAAAGCTCCTGTTGACTGGAGAGAAAAGGGCACCACCCTGTGCTCCCACCCCTAGGAGGTAGGGCTGGTAACCGCAGCTATGTCTTGCCAAGGCAATCTTCCTGACAAAGGCTCTCTAACCTGCAAAACCTAATTTATCATGCCCTTCGTGGAAGTGAGTCATTCAGCTAGTCCTTGACCGTCCGTTTTTAAATACCTGCCTAGTGGCTCATCTCTAACAGCTCTCTCTGACCTCTAGACTTGTAAGATAATAAATGTGTATTGTGCCAAGCCGTAAGATTGTTGCAGTTTATTACATCAGCAATAGGAAACTCAAACACCAAGCTGTGTGTAACCCCCTGCGTTTCCCAGATTCCTTGCAGTTACATGAGGCGAAGCGACAGAGTCCAGCCCCGCGAGTGTAGAGGAAAGTCAC